AAGAAGGATAATGCTTTCTTGCCAGACTATAAGAAAACTTGGCCTATGTTCCTTTCCAAGGAAGAGATGAGATGAATGGATTAGGGTGTTCTTACCTGTGGTCATGATTGCAGATTTAATAGCTGCAGGGCTCCAGTGAGGATAGAGGGTTTTAAGAAGGCCGCAAATGCCGGAAATATGAGGGCATGACATTGATGTGCCTGACACTGAGTTGAACAGAACTCGCCGTTTGTCAAACATTTGATTTGTTGGCCCTTGTGCTTCAGTGTAGGCTGCTATGATACTCACTCCTGGCGCAGTGATATCAGGCTGAATATTCAAAACAAAGGAGCAAAGTATTAAGAGAGTCCAATTCCCTCTGATGAATAGATTTGTGAGATGCTAAAAAAAACCTTAAGGATGTCTGGTGTGATGGTGTTGGGTCCCTTTGATGAAAATGCTGCCATGACGGGAGCTGGCTTCGTTCCCAGTTGCGTTGTTGGACGCTTTATGTAAGCCCTGGGAGACCTGTCAAAATAAGTAAAATTCTCAATCAATTCACTGTAAGGAAGTTGGTGATGGAACTAGGTGTCTGTTTATATGAATTAACTATTGTTCTGCCTGCACTGAGATGAACCCTATACATCAAATTAATGCAGTTAGTGCTGCCAGTTCTTAGTCTGAAACAGGCAATTTGAGAGGTACTTCATCCTGTGATGAAGATGAATTATTTATATTTTAAGGTAGGTTCTGTGCATAGGCATGGTTTTGGTGAAATATAATGATGGCTGGTGGCATGTCATCTTACTTAGTTGAATTGATGTAAGCAAAGACAAGGGCACCGTCGGTGAAATTGATATGTGAAGCAGGGAGGACATGTGGATCAGAAATAATTTCGTTCCCGCTAAGCTCATCGTTAGCAAGAATCATTCCCACGGCGCCAGCCAGTAAGGCTTGCTCACCCTTGTCCACTCTTGCACTGTCTCCTCGAAGGCAGGCCAAGATCTTTCCCTTCACCTTTTTGAGATCAAGTGTGCCAGCCTTGCATAACAGACTGCAGCATCATATAATAAGCAGATTGCTGAGAGCTTGAATATGGTAGTAGTAAAATGAAAATTGAAAGAACTTGATGTTGTTATTATCCTTACGCTTCTTGAACTGATGCGTTAGCTGCTTTAGCATCTGCAGCACTAATAAGCCGGTAGAACCTTTTCCCCGGCAAGGCCACAGGCGATAAGCTCTGTCCCTGCAGAACACAGTAGATACAAATTACGATGGATTTGTGTAGTTTTTCAGGATATGTGATGGAAGTTCCTTTCAAACACCTATAGAAGTGTATGGCATGTCTTATTATTCTGAGCTTCTTGCAACCGTTTGATGAAAATTAGACAGCAAACATTAAGTAACCTTCATCTACTATGCTTAGGATAAAAGGGACTATAACCAACCCTGAAGTGCTTCCAGTTTCCAAGGGTGACATAACTGGGGAACTCCCTGTCTATGGTACTGGCACCAACAGTGATCTGCCACGGCGCTACATTGGAGACGGTACCTTCAGCTGGACCGGAATTCCCAGCTGAGCAAACCACCACAATGCCATGCTTAACAGCATGAAAAGCACCTATTGCAACACTATCATTGAAGAATGCAGAGGGATATCCACCCAGTGACACAGACAATACATCAACACCATCATGGATGGCAATATCAAATGCAGCCAATATATCTGCTTCAAAGCACTGATTTCCATTCACTGGAGGCCAACACACTTTATAGGCTGCAACTCTGGCTTTTGGTGATCCACCCTTTGCTGTTCCATTACCAAACCCAAACACACTTGCCCCAGTTACAAAATTGCCCCCAGCTGTTGACAAGGTGTGAGAGCCATGGCCTTCATTGTCTCTTGGTGAGTCAAAGGAGGAGTTTAGGGTGCCAGCAGCTGCAGCATAGCCCTTGTTGTAGTATCTTGCTCCAATTAGCTTCCTTTCATGCAAAATTTTAATCCAACACAAAGTTCAGAGGGAAAGGTTGCTAAAACCAGTCAGAAGATGCCCTTATTTTACACAAATACATGTTCTGAACCTGTCTTCTCTCTCATTATTATAATAATTTGCTTGCTTACTCTACATAAATATATGCTTTTAAATTATTATAATAATTTTAATCTAATTGCAGCAATGCAGCTTGAAAATGGGATCAGATACCATGAGGACCAGAAGCAATTGAGCCAAAAGAGAACATGTTTGCAGTTTTACTATCTTTTTTTTTCTTCATCTTATTGATGATAAAGGCAGATTTATCTCATCCAGTTTTATGCTGTTCTAGGTTTCTAAAACAAGTTTGACTCAGCTTTATGAGAAAGCTGCAAATGGATCCTGCTTTATGGATACCATTTCACCCCACTACTACTAAAGCAGATCATCTTTGTTGGACCATGAATTTGGATATATAAAAAAAAGGGCCTGACTACAAAGAACAAAAAAGAGGTTCTCTTTCTTGCTTCAATTTTAACACATTTCAGCAATGAGTTAAGTGTTGTAGAAAAAGCAAACAGAAAGTAAATCAATCTTCCACAGAAAGTAGGTATAAAATAATGAATACCTGTTGCAGTAAAATTCAGAATCTGTCTCATTTTGGCAGATTCCTTTCCACTTGGATGGAATTGGTCCATACTCTTCATCACTAAAGCTATTGGACTCTGGCCATGCGCCTACAATCCCATTCCACAACAGTAAGGCTAAAAAGAATGTTCAACAGCAAAGCAACGCACATTCTTTTTAGAATTACAATTATTTCATATTTTCATCCACATAATTGCACACTCCTTACATCTTTTTTAGTACAAACGATCGTCTAAACTAGAGGGGAGATGGATTTCTCACATACAGGCACACAACTATGATGCTGTGGGAATTTAAACCTGAGAATCTGTCTGTATACAGTGCGTTGGCTCCTTATGTTAGTCATAAAAGAAAGTAATTAAAAAAGAAAAGAAAAGACAAGAATCTTTACTAGTTGCAACTTGCAACAGTTGTAATTTTTTTTTTCTTTTAATGGTGGCCCAGAACTACAAAAATACCTTCAATGAGAGTTTATACCCTTGATGGAAGCCTTAAAATACAACCTGGCCTAATTAATTATTAGTATATTACAATTAATTAATCCTCTAGAAGGAAGAGCTCTCAATGTTCATGCATTTTTGTCGTATACAAGGACGTGTATTTAGTGAGCACCATTGAAATTGTTTAATATCAGCAGCACCAAACCAACCAATAGTTACAGAAATGAAAATCAATTTTATAAACATGATTTTGTTGAAAGGCACTGTTGTTGAAATGAGTGAGGATAAGTCAACGATCCAGATCAAACTTATTTTAGTGCATGAACATGACTTGAAAGTGAAGCAAAATTTTATAAAATTGACAAAAATTAATAAAATAAATAAATATAAAAGAAGAAGAAGAAGAAAAACTGACCAGTATCAAGGTTTCCTATGATTGTATCTTCACCATATCTTGCCTTGTTCCAGATTGAGTTGGGTGGAGTAACACCATCATGCTCAAGTCCCAAGAAATCCCATGATCTAGTTGTGTGTAATTTTCTTCCCTGGTTCAAGAAAATGGAGACTACCTTTGGATGCTCTGCGGGGTTTCAATGGTAAGCATGAGAAGAACAAGTATACAAAACAGAGGAGAAAGAAGATTATAAAAAATAAAAAAAAAGATTCTCACTGGCTATCTGAGCTGCCTCTTCTTCTTCTAATGTGGCAGCAAAGCCATTGATGTGCTTTGTGTATGAGTAAAAGATGGATTCTTTTGCAACTTCATGGCTGAATTTTGCAGACAAATTCAAACATATGATCTCAGAAAGATGGTGTTTATGTATTTTAGTAGTTGGTGCTAAAATGTGTTTAAGTACCTGCCCAAGAAGGACCCAAGAAACTCATAGTGATTCTCTCTCACTTGGTTTAGTTCAAGTTCTGATAAGTTTGGGGGATGTGAATGTGATCCCAAGTACACCACATATGACTACACCAATACAACAGTAGAAGCAGGCAAGCAAGTAAGTACATAATGAAAAAAAATTTGAGAAGAAAAATCATGACAGTAGGCATAGCAATGGGAGCTACTTCTTTTTTTTTTTGATTTTTTTAATGGAAGAAAATAAGATTGAATGCTCACCTTTTTGATGGCAAAGGTGGGTCTGTGAAGTGCAAGGGGGGAGAGAAGGAAGGACAGGAGGTAAAGAGCTATGGTTGGTCTTGGTGGCCTCATTGCTTGGTTTGGTTGGTTGATTGACCCTTGTTTCTTTCTTGCCCCTTGTGGAAGGCAAACTTTGGGTTTTTATGGTTTTTATTTATAAAAAACCTCCAATAGATGTGGCAGAAAGAACCCTGCTTCCAAATTGCAATGCCCAATGTGGTACAAGTATTATTAGCTTAACTGCATAATGTTATTATTTATTGAAGAATAAATAAAATAAAATAAATTAATGTGACCTTGTGGACCCTATATTATGGTAATAATTGATTGATAGAATATTGGAAGGTGCTAGAGTGCACCTAGAAAATAAACAGGGGGTTGTTGGACTGGGGGAATCTGAGTTTTATAGAACCTCATGTAGCCAAGGATAAAACAACAAAATTGGCAAATGGGATATTGCCACGTGTAGAAAAGGTTGGATATGCTCTTCCATTAGCCAGTCCAATGCAGGCCGATACCGACCAAAACAAAATGCAGGTTGATGAAAATGCTATGTACTTAAAATGGAGGGTACCTTATTTAAGCAAATTGGCTATACATGGCTCCATCAAACCTTAAATAAGTTTGGACTTGTGCTACATATGCCATTGTCATCCACTAGTGGGAGATATATATAGTCTTTATTACAACTTACACGCATTTATGGTCCATAAATGACACCCTCATTTCCTCATAGAACGACTCAAATTCCCTGACTTAGTCCTAAAAATATCTGAAGGCCAATTATGGCTTTCCTAGGTTGGTTGGGTTGGGATTTTATAAATGAATATACAATTGAATTTACAAGGAAAAAGACAAACTGAAAGCCAAACAAACAAGTGGGCCATGATTCACTTTCTTAACCAATCTGCTTTTGTTGGGAATATCTATTACTAAACATGAACCCAATACAACTATTTCTGCAATTTAAATACCAAATACCTCCACATTTCCCCTAATACAACTATTTGTGGCACATAAATACCAAATACCTCAATATTCCCCTTAATTTAGCCATTCAGATTGCCAAAAGGGTAATGAAGTTCTACTAAAACGCTTCAAATTAGTGTGTGTGTGTGTGTTTATTCTATTAATCAATTGATGACTCCTTAGGTCATCTCCATTGCAATACCCAAATTCTCATATTTGGGTCCAAGTGTGGTGGGTTCTTCAACATGACTAAAAAGTTACATTCAAACTCATATATATATATATATAAGTTTTAAGTTACGTCATACCTGAAGTGATATTGCATTTAAAAACTCCTAATTTATATTTTAACTTAAATCTCATTTAGGTCTTACTTTTACCAAATTGATGCGAGGTTTTAACATGACTCAAATCTCAGCCACCTATTTTTAGCATGATCAATAAAATATGATACATGTAACATTATTGAGATATTTTAGCCATACATCATTATATGTGCTATAAAGTTGTCACATATTTCACTCAAGTCACATCACTCATGAGAGAGGGGATGTGTTTTGACGTATATCTCACACTAGAAGTATAAAGACTTCCATTTTTATGTAATAATGCCCTAGGCCTTTCCACAATCATTCCCAATTTTATTTTTAATTTTTTTGGGATTAAATACACTTACCATATGTTTACTAACACATGATAAGCACGAATTGGAATCAATCCAATACCCATTCTTGATCTAAGTTCATCAATTCATGTCTTCTCTTATTCATGATAAGTAAATTTAAAGAGGAAAAAAAAGAGAGAAAATGTGTAATTATGATAATATCTTATTATTTAAAACTTTTATGGTTTATGCAAATAGTATCCGGATCCCTTAATATTATCGCTTTATTTTCCCAAAAGATAAGAAAGGTTTCTTTAGACATAACATAGAGAAGACACACGGGGTATGCCAAAAGCAAAAACTTTATGTTATTCAACAGGCAATGCAAATGGTGGTGAGGGAAGTAGGCTTAGGTGAGGTAACCGTTCTCAATATATATCTCATCGTCTCCCAAAGAAAGATGAAGCCACAAGCAAACTAATGCAATGCAACAAAGACCCATACATTGATGATTGATTTGATAAATAATCCACATGCAGCCCATATACACTTTCCTTACACGTCTGATTTTACTTTACTCTTAAATGGAAGTATTTACTGTTTGGTTTGGGATTATGTGTTGACATGAATCATATATTCCTTAATGAATTAGGATTGTTTTTAGTTTCTTTTTAATTTTAGTCCTATTAAAATCAGGATGTGTTTCCTATTGTAACTCATGATTTTGGGCATGGCTATATATTCATCTATGTTGAAGAAGAATACATATCGAAAATCTTCCCGCATTCTTATTGTTTGACATTACGCATAAGTTTCAAAAGCTCACGCTAATCACTCCATTCAGATACCCTCAAACCAATTACACTACAAGAATATCGGGCAATAATCACTATTATTGTACCCTATCAATACATTAGTTGCAATTACCCTTAAAAAAATTAAATTAGTAGACCATCCAATTGAGACCATTTATTAGTTTGTTCTCTTGTAACTAATAGATAAGAAGAGGCTCAACAAATTGCCTCACCACAACAACTAACCAATTGGTGCACCTCTATATAAATTCTCTACTCTCTCTGTCCCTAAACACCACAGTTTTGTATAACATGGACGGAAAATCAAAGATGTCCAATGTACGTTTCCTTTCCACCCCTATATCTCACTGTTATTTTGTCCAACAAATTACATGGAAAATAATAACAATATGTGTTCTTTGTTGTTGTTCTTCTTCTCTAATTACAGGTTTCCGGCGCAATCATTTTTATACTGGGATTCTTTTTCCTAAGAGCTGCAGAATGTAGAACACCAGCGAATCGGGGCACGGTCAAGTACTCTGCCCTTAGCTGTCGAAAGCACAGTGCTCTTTTGACTGATTTTGGAGCTGTTGGCGATGGCAAAACGTCCAACACAAAGGCCTTCAAGGCGGCCATTGATCATCTAAGCCAGTGTGCATCTGACGGCGGAGCACAGCTTATCGTGCCACCGGGGAAGTGGCTCACCGGGAGCTTCAACCTTACCAGCCATTTCACCCTTTTCCTCCACAAGGATGCTGTTATTCTTGCAACTCAGGTTTATTTCTCTTGCCTTTTTTGGTCGAATATATTTACTTAATTTCTTGAATATTTTAGACTTAATTGATAGTAATTACCTTATATAATAGAATTAGCTTAATTGATTGTTTTTTGAAACTCAGGTTTAATTTTTGTACATATTTTATTACCATTTACCATATAATTAGCATATTTGATTTAGTAATCTACAACATCTCCGACATAGTAATTTCATAAAATTAAACACCGACTTAGTAATCTACAAACATAGGAAAAACAGTAACTTTCTCACCATGTTTTGTATGCATGCAGAAAGTCAACTCGTTGAATTTTCAATTTTTTTGTTGGTGTATTAACTAAATACAATATTGTGAAAAATAATTTGAACAGAAAATTCAGACCCAAGACCGAACGTGCAAGAGATTTACTCCCTTTGGTGGAGGGTCTAGATGCTGTCCTGGATCTGAACTTGGGAAGCTTGAAGCGCTGCAATTTTTCTCCAACACCTTGTACAGAATTTCAGGTAATTATATAATTAGATTATAATTATTTTGCAATTTCACAAATATTATGTACTACTTTAAGTATTAGGGCAAAATAAATGTCGAATTAAGTTGATGATCAAGAACCAATTTTATGTGTAGGTGGAGGACTGAGGATGATGACCAACCCATAGCGTCTCCATACGTAGAATTTCAAAGAGGCCTGCCACTGCACTTGGAGCATTGCCCTATCAATTGATGTAGGGTTTTTTTTGGGTGCTCTTTTTCCAACCCCTCTTTCCTTCTCCAACCCAATCCCTCCTTTCCTTATTTGTTTTTTTTGGGTGGCTTGAAGATGGGCATTTATCTCACTATTTTTTTAGTGGAGCTAGGCTTTTGGTAATATTCCACTTTACATAAGTCTTATATTTTGAAAAGTTCTAATGCTGTAAACTTGAATTCCTACTTCCAAAGTTTCTTCACATAAATGATAATACCATGATGATAAGTTTAGTTGTCATAATTTTCGATCTAACACGATAATACGATACGAATCTAAGATGATATTATAGTAGGACTAATTATTACTAAGCATACTATAATTGTAAATACATCTGGTTTTTTTTCCTTATTTTGACATGATTTAAATGGTTTTGTCTCACAACATGATGACTTGGACTATTTTTGCCTACTTCTAGGCAGCCTTTACCACAATGGGGCTCCTTACATAGTGCTTACCATCTGACCATATCAACTTCCCAAACACATAGTTCTTAGCTGCTTTGGCATCTATAACCTGCAGGAGTAGTTTAAAGCTCTTCTCTTCACCAATTTTCTTGAACTCCAACTTGTTTGGCTCAACTGAAACCGATATGCCATCTGGGTTCTGGATACGAGCCTTGTAAGTTCCTGGAGTGCCAACATTTTTCACTGTTCTAGTCACCACAAGGGATCCATTGAGTTTAGGGACAGTGATTGAGGGATAGTTGAGGTTAGTGAGACTAACAGCAGGTTTTGGGCACTCATATGCCTCCTCTGAGACCATTTCGATTTGTGTTTTGTTGTATCCATTTGAACATAGAAAGTTCAAGTAATCATTAAGGGACAAGTCATAAACCAAGCCAGGATCCATGGCACTGTTAGGATTAACATGCCCTGCACCATAACTAAATGGTGTTGCCCTATAGAAAGAAGCATTGAGCAGTGGTTCCCTGCTATTATCTTGTGTTGTCGCTGTAAAATACGAGAATAAGAAGAAAACATCAGAAAGAAGGATAATGCTTTCTTGCCAGACTATAAGAAAACTTGGCCTATGTTCCTTTCCAAGGAAGAGATGAGATGAATGGATTAGGGTGTTCTTACCTGTGGTCATGATTGCAGATTTAATAGCTGCAGGGCTCCAGTGAGGATAGAGGGTTTTAAGAAGGCCGCAAATGCCGGAAATATGAGGGCATGACATTGATGTGCCTGACACTGAGTTGAACAGAACTCGCCGTTTGTCAAACATTTGATTTGTTGGCCCTTGTGCTTCAGTGTAGGCTGCTATGATACTCACTCCTGGCGCAGTGATATCAGGCTGAATATTCAAAACAAAGGAGCAAAGTATTAAGAGAGTCCAATTCCCTCTGATGAATAGATTTGTGAGATGCTAAAAAAAACCTTAAGGATGTCTGGTGTGATGGTGTTGGGTCCCTTTGATGAAAATGCTGCCATGACGGGAGCTGGCTTCGTTCCCAGTTGCGTTGTTGGACGCTTTATGTAAGCCCTGGGAGACCTGTCAAAATAAGTAAAATTCTCAATCAATTCACTCTAAGGAAGTTGGTGATGGAACTAGGTGTCTGTTTATATGAATTAACTATTGTTCTGCCTGCACTGAGATGAAGCCTATACATCAAATTAATGCAGTTAGTGCTGCCAGTTCTTAGTCTGAAACAGGCAATTTGAGAGGTAATTCATCCTGTGATGAAGATGAATTATTTATATTTTAAGGTAGGTTCTGTGCATAGGCATGGTTTTGGTGAAATATAATGATGGCTGGTGGCATGTCATCTTACTTAGTTGAATTGATGTAAGCAAAGACAAGGGCACCGTCGGTGAAATTGATATGTGAAGCAGGGAGGACATGTGGATCAGAAATAATTTCGTTCCCGCTAAGCTCATCGTTAGCAAGAATCATTCCCACGGCGCCAGCCAGTAAGGCTTGCTCACCCTTGTCCACTGTTGCACTGTCTCCTTGAAGGCAGGCCAAGATCTTTCCCTTCACCTTTTTGAGATCAAGTGTGCCAGCCTTGCATAACAGACTGCAGCATCATATAATAAGCAGATTGCTGAGAGCTTGAATATGGTAGTAGTAAAATGAAAATTGAAAGAACTTGATGTTGTTATTATCCTTACGCTTCTTGAACTGATGCGTTAGCTGCTTTAGCATCTGCAGCACTAATAAGCCGGTAGAACCTTTTCCCCGGCAAGGCCACAGGCGATAAGCTCTGTCCCTACAGAACAAAGTAGATACAAATTACGATGGATTTGTGTAGATTTTCAGGATATGTGATGGAAGTTCCTTTCAAACACCTATAGAGGTGTATGGCATGTCTTATTATTCTGAGCTTCTTGCAACCGTTTGATGAAAATTAGACAGCAAACATTAAGTAACCTTCATCTACTATGCTTAGGATAAAAGGGACTATAACCAACCCTGAAGTGCTTCCAGTTTCCAAGGGTGACATAACTGGGGAACTCCCTGTCTATGGTACTGGCACCAACAGTGATCTGCCACGGCGCTACATTGCAGACGGTACCTTCAGCTGGACCGGAATTCCCAGCTGAGCAAACCACCACAATGCCATGCTTAACAGCATGAAAAGCACCTATTGCAATACTGTCATTGAAGAATGCAGAGGGATCTCCACCCAGTGACACAGACAATACATCAACACCATCATGGATGGCAATATCAAATGCAGCCAATATATCTGCTTCAAAGCACTGATTTCCATTCACTGGAGGCCAACACACTTTATAGGCTGCAACTCTGGCTTTTGGTGATCCACCCTTTGCTGTTCCATTACCAAACCCAAACACACTTGCCCCAGTTACAAAATTGCCCCCAGCTGTTGACAAGGTGTGAGAGCCATGGCCTTCATTGTCTCTTGGTGAGTCAAAGGAGGAGTTTAGGGTGCCAGCAGCTGCAGCATAGCCCTTGTTGTAGTATCTTGCTCCAATTAGCTTCCTTTCATGCAAAATTTTAATCCAACACAAAGTTCAGAGGGAAAGGTTGCTAAAACCATTCAGAAGATGCCCTTATTTTACACCAATACATGTTCTGAACCTGTCTTCTCTCTCATTATTATAATAATTTGCTTGCTTACTCTACATAAATATATGCTTTTAAATTATTATAATAATTTTAATCTAATTGCAGCAATGCAGCTTGAAAATGGGATCAGATACCATGAGGACCAGAAGCAATTGAGCCAAAAGAGAACATGTTTGCAGTTTTACTATCTTTTTTTTTTCTTCATCTTATTGATGATAAAGGCAGATTTATCTCATCCAGTTTTATGCTGTTCTAGGTTTCTAAAACAAGTTTGACTCAGCTTTATGAGAAAGCTGCAAATGGATCCTGCTTTATGGATACCATTTCACCCCACTACTACTACTACTAAAGCAGATCATCTTTGTTGGACCATGAATTTGGATATATATAAAAAAAAGGGCCTGACTACAAAGAACAAAAAAGAGGTTCTCTTTCTTGCTTCAATTTTAACACATTTCAGCAATGGGTTAAGTGTTGTAGAAAAAGCAAACAGAAAGTAAATCAATCTTCCACAGAAAGTAGGTATAAAATAATGAATACCTGTTGCAGTAAAATTCAGAATCTGCCTCATTTTGGCAGATTCCTTTCCACTTGGATGGAATTGGTCCATACTCTTCATCACTAAAGCTATTGGACTCTGGCCATGCGCCTACAATCCCATTCCACAACAGTAAGGCTAAAAAGAATGTTCAACAGCAAAGCAACGCACATTCTTTTTAGAATTACAATTATTTCATATTTTCATCCACATAATTGCACACTCCTTACATCTTTTTTAGTACAAACGATCGTCTAAACTAGAGGGGAGATGGATTTCTCACATACAGGCACACAACTATGATGCTGTGGGAATTTAAACCTGAGAATCTGTCTGTATACAGTGCGTTGGCTCCTTATGTTAGTCATAAAAGAAAGTAATTAAAAAAGAAAAGAAAAGACAAGAATCTTTACTAGTTGCAACTTGCAACAGTTGTAATTTTTTTTTTCTTTTAATGGTGGCCCAGAACTACAAAAATACCTTCAATGAGAGTTTATACCCTTGATGGAAGCCTTAAAATACAACCTGGCCTAATTAATTATTAGTATATTACAATTAATTAATCCTCTAGAAGGAAGAGCTCTCAATGTTCATGCATTTTTGTCGTATACAAGGACGTGTATTTAGTGAGCACCATTGAAATTGTTTAATATCAGCAGCACCAAACCAACCAATAGTTACAGAAATGAAAATCAATTTTATAAACATGATTTTGTTGAAAGGCACTGTTGTTGAAATGAGTGAGGATAAGTCAACGATCCAGATCAAACTTAATTTAGTGCATGAACATGACTTGAAAGTGAAGCAAAATTTTATAAAATTGACAAAAATTAATAAAATAAATAAATATAAAAGAAGAAGAAGAAGAAAAACCGACCACTATCAAGGTTTCCTATGATTGTATCTTCACCATATCTTGCCTTGTTCCAGATTGAGTTGGGTGGAGTAACACCATCATGCTCAAGTCCCAAGAAATCCCATGATCTAGTTGTGTGTAATTTTCTTCCCTGGTTCAAGAAAATGGAGACTACCTTTGGATGCTCTGCGGGGTTTCAATGGTAAGCATGAGAAGAACAAGTATACAAAACAGAGGAGAAAGAAGATTATAAAAAATAAAAAAAAAGATTCTCACTGGCTATCTGAGCTGCCTCTTCTTCTTCTAATGTGGCAGCAAAGCCATTGATGTGCTTTGTGTATGAGTAAAAGATGGATTCTTTTGCAACTTCATGGCTGAATTTTGCAGACAAATTCAAACATATGATCTCAGAAAGATGGTGTTTATGTATTTTAGTAGTTGGTGCTAAAATGTGTTTAAGTACCTGCCCAAGAAGGACCCAAGAAACTCATAGTGATTCTCTCTCACTTGGTTTAGTTCAAGTTCTGATAAGTTTGGGGGATGTGAATGTGATCCCAAGTACACCACATATGACTACACCAATACAACATTAGAAGCAGGCAAGCAAGTAAGTACATAATGAAAAAAAATTTGAGAAGAAAAATCATGACAGTAGGCATAGCAATGGGAGCTACTTCTTTTTTTTTTTGATTTTTTTAATGGAAGAAAATAAGATTGAATGCTCACCTTTTTGATGGCAAAGGTGGGTCTGTGAAGTGCAAGGGGGGAGAGAAGGAAGGACAGGAGGTAAAGAGCTATGGTTGGTCTTGGTGGCCTCATTGCTTGGTTTGGTTGGTTGATTGACCCTTGTTTCTTTCTTGCCCCTTGTGGAAGGCAAACTTTGGGTTTTTATGGTTTTTATTTATAAAAAA